AGTCTAGGAAGGTCTACAGCCAGATGAGGAAGCCAGCCCCACGCAGACTTTTGTGGCCTTCTGAACCTTTGAGACATGCTTGAGAGTTGCGTACAGTCCGGATCAGTCTGAATCCTGTATGACTTCACAGCCCAGTCATTCTACAAAGATGCCTCAGAGGCCCCTTGGCAAACATGGAGTGGCACCTTTGGGGACATCAAATGAAGAAAGTCTTGTCCTGTTTTTGGAAGGTTTGCCTAGCTTAACAATTTTGTTACAAGAAAATTCAAAAGCGATATATGTAGATAAACGTTTTGTTTTGACTCTTGGCCCCTGTCATGATGGTGCTTTGCGGCACACGGCCTCATATCTTCTCGGCGTTCCCAATTCTCAGTCTCTTCTCTCCAAATTGTTAAGTGCATGGGGTTGGGCCTTGTTCCGTGTGTTTCTATCAGCCCCTCCTCTCCCTGGCTACCTCCCACCCACTGGCACATCACTGGTGTTCAAACGTAGTTTTTTTGCATGGCAGATTTAAAAATGTTAAAATGAAAGTCAAAGTGATTGAGGTTTTAGGAAGGAAAAATCATTCTTCATCATGACAAGTCCAAAAGGTACCATTAATATATTCAATGATTTAAAGGGTACAGAGGGAAAAAGCTAAATACCTTTCATTAAGCTCAGAGAGAATGACAAATTTTCATAAGAGAGATGTTTGTGGAAATTAAATGTACTGACTCTAGGTAAGGAAAAGAAAACAGAGATATCAGGGTATGATAAGGAATATAGTTAATCTTATAGCAGTTAATAAACATAATTTGTTTCTTCTGTTATTACAAACCTTGACTACTGATTCTAATTTAAAATAGTATATTTGTTAAATTTTTTAAAATATGACTTCATGCCATGTGTGTTCCTATGCAACTGTCTTGCATGCTCTGCTCATGTACCCCAAAACCTAAAATCCAATAAAAAAAAATATATATGACTTCAGTGCTTAAAAATGGGAAGCATAATTTAAGAATCATAACTTCTTTATAAGTGAACTTTTATTTCTTAATTTTGTGAATTTTTTTGGTTATAAATATATATACAAATTCAAAAGAAAATAAGAAATGTTTATAATAAATTATTTTAAATCACTGCTGGGAATGGTGGCTCACACCTGTAATTCTAGGACTTTGAGAGGCCAAAGTGGGTGGATCACCTGAGGTCAGGAATTCAAGGCCAGAGTGGCCAACATAGTGAAACCCCGTCTCTACTAAAAATACAAAAACTTAGCAAGGTGTGGTGGCAGGCACTTGTAATCCCAGCTATTCGGGAGGCTGAGGCAGGAGAATCACTTGAACCGGGGAGGTGGAGGTTGCAGTAAACCACGATCGCACCATTGCACTCCAGCCTGGGTTACAAGAGGGAAACTCCATCTCATAAATATATATATTTAAATCGCAATATGTTATTATCTTTACAATTATTTAGTTTGTGTTTGTGTTTTCCTACTTAGGAAGTTAATTACTTGATATTAATATTAACATTCATTTTCACCTCAATCTACTCTCAGTCCAGTGTTTGCACCTGTCAGTGAAGTGACCACATAAAGACCAGTGTGTGTATTCGAGAAAGTGGAATGTCAGCAGCTGGCAAAACAAAATGACAGTTTAGTGTGGACAGAGCCAGGATTCAATAGACCACGTTGCAGCAAAGTTGAAAGTTCAACTCGAACTGGAGAGCAAACACTCTAGTCTACATGTGATGCTTTTTTGTCTCCTTTTTTAATGAAAAGAAACATTATCTTCATCATCATAATAGTCTTGTCTTTTGGAAAGGTTGAGTAATTATTTGCTTTACAGTAGATAGACGTTAGCACAGACTTATCTCTAGGTATTACATACTTGATCATTATATGAGAGCTGGGAAAAGGGAGCCTGAAAAATTGAAACTAATTTTTACTGTACATAAATTTAAGTACAGAGGGTTTTAAAATAAACGTTCAATTACTGATGTGACTTTGGATATAGTGAAATAAATATATTAATATCTTTCTACATGAAGACTTATTTTGTTCTACTGATTTGTTTTCCTAATTTTCTGGTGATTAATTATTTTAATTTGGGTTAATTTTCTTTTTTTTTTAGCGTAATGGCAAATGCTCTCCCCAACCCTGGGCCTGGGGATCTTACCCCGGTGATTTCCTTAGACTGCTGTTAATGAAATGGCAGGGAACTCACTCTGTACCCCTGGTACCTTGGGCAAAGAGGTAGTTCAAGTGGATTATGCCCTTTGAGAACAAATAGGTGGAGGGATTCCAAAAGCTGTCCATTTCATGTCACTTTGGTGACCCCCACTTTGTTGATGCCAAGGAAGACTAATAGTGACTAAGACTTTTTGTTGCTTTTATTAAATTGGTGGTATTGTTTCTTTGGCTTTCTTTTTGGCTAGTTTACTGTCACATGGGTCTTGATAAGGGAGACTCATTGTGCTTGTAGTGGTGGGTGATAGTTTCTTCCAAGAAGTGTGAGGTACTGTGTAGACAACTAAGGAAAGAGTCACTGGGTAGTTACAGGACCGTCAAAGGACTCTCCGGGCTTTTGGGTGCTGATGGAGTAGGAGTTAGAGTTTAGAGACCTAATGTAAGAAAAGCGGACTAAGTCAGTCCTGAGGGTTCTTCTATCAGGTAAATCAGAATGGCAAGTCAATCAATCCCATTACTGGGTATATACCTGAAAGAATATAAATAATTCTATTATAAAGATACATGCACACAAATGTTCATTGCAGCACTATTCACAATAGCAAAGACGTGTAATCAACCCAAATAACGACTAATGAGAGAATGGATAAAGAAAATGTGGTACATATACACCATGGAATACTATGCAGTCATAGAAAGGAATGAGATAATGTCCTTTGCAGGGACATGGACGGAACTGGAAGCTGCCGTCCTCAGCAAACTAATGCAGGAAGAGAAAACCAAACACCACATGTTCTCACTTTTAAGTGGGAGCTGAATGATGAGAACACATGGACCATGGGAGGGAACAACACACAGTAGGGCCTGTGGGGGGAGGCGTGGGAGGAGGGAGAGCATCAGAAAGAATAGCTAATGGATGCTGAGCTTAATACCGAGGTGATGGATTGATCTGTGCAGCAAACGGCCATGGCACATGTTTATCTACATATCAAACCGGCACATCCTGCACATGTACCCTGGAACTTGAAATAAAAGTTGAAGAAAAAAACAAAAGAATGACAGGTCAACCATGTCTGGGGTATGGGCTTCCATCCCTGACCATCTGCTTCTCTCTGTTAGTTTCATGAATGGCCTTATCCAGATATTTAGCTTCAACCCATGTACTGCTGAATCCCAAATTATATCTCTAGGATCAAGCCCGTCTCTCAAATTCCAGGCCCTGTCTCAGTTGCTGTATTAGTCTGTTTTCACATTGCTGATAGACATTCCCAAGACTAGGAAGAAGAGGTTTAAGGGACACATGGCTGCGGAGGCCTCACAATCATGGCAGAAGACAAGGAGGAACAAGTCACATCTTGCATGGATGGCAGCAGACAAAAGAAAGCTTGTGCAGATGAACTCTGGTTTTTAAAATCATCAGATCTTGTGAGACCCATTCACTATCATGAGAACAGCACAGGAAAGATACACCCCCATGATTCAATTATCTCTCTCCAGCTCCCTCCCACAACACGTGGGAATTATGGGAGCTGCAAGATGAGATTTGGGTGGGGACACAGAGCCAAACCATATCAGCTGCCTATTATGTGTCTTCATTCGAACAGGCCAAGGGTTCCTAAGACTTAAAGTGTTTTGGTAAATCTGAATTTATCAAAACAAACAAACAGAAAACAAAACAAAACAAAAAGAGTAGCACACAAAATTGTTCCTATTCTTATAATTTGTTTTTAGTGAATAGGGTCATTCTCCATCTAGTTGCCCAAAGAAGAAATTCCAGGCAGCTCTGTCCTCATTCAAACAGTCCCCTAAATTTTACTTCTTTTGTAATTTCTCTCAAATCTGCCTTCTCTACTTCAATTTTATTTTCTATTTTGTCTCCAGTGCTTAAACAATTCCTGGCATATAATAAGCATTTAGCAAATATTTACAGAGTGAAAGAACAAAGAGAACAGAAAAGCACTTGGCCCTGCATAAAACAGTTAATTCAAGGAACAGACAAAAATTTAAAATATGTTATTTCAATAAAAAATATTTTGGGAGACATTCAAGAGAAACTTTTTTCTATTAAGCAAGGACAGGCAGCTATGAAAAAGGAACTGTCTGAACAAAACAACAAATAACAAGTTAAAATATGCAGGATAGATCCAAGAGATCTAATACCTTTCTAATAGGATTTTTTAAAATATGTGTATTTTATTGCGTTTTAGGTTTTGGGGTACATGTGAAGAACATGCAGGATTGTTGCATAGGTACATACATGGCAATGTGGTTTGCTGCCTCCATCCCCATCACCTCTATCTGGCATTTCTCCCCATATTATCCCTCCCCAACTCCCCACCCCACACTGTCCATCACCTAGCTACCCCCGACAGACCCCAGCATGTGATGCTCCCCTCCCTGTGTCCATGTGTTCTCCATTGTTCAACACCCGCCTATGAGTGAGAACATGCAGTGTTTGATTTTCTGTTCTTGTGTCAGTTTGCTGAGAATGATGGTTTCCAGGTTCATCCATGTCCCTTAGGCAAGGACTTCATGTCTAATAGGATTTTTTGAAAGCAAAACAGGTACAATGGAAGTGAGACTATAATAAAATGCATTTTTTTTAAATGGTAGTATTAATAGGAGAATTGTTTTCAATGGGCTGACACTGTCCAGTTGCAAATGCTATGTATAAATACTGAATTATCTAAATTATATAAGACAGTGAAGACTGCCAGGGGACTATGGTTGGCATATTGTAAGTCTCAGTCCCCTTTCTCAAAGCTGCAGAAAAGCCACATTGTTATGCATTAATTCGAAAATATATATTTACTTTGTTTTATTTTCTTGCCAGGTAAGCTATGCAGCACCTATTGGGAGACATGCAGAAGAAAAGAAGGTGAAAATATTAGGATCTAAGGTACAATAATGACTAATGTGACCATTATTACTAACCTAGTTATTGTTTATATTGATGCTGGCTGTGCTTAGAAAGTAGCATTGACTTTGGACGCTACACTGAGAATTAGCCTTCTTAAGAGAAAAAGGACCTGATTGCCTCTTTACTATGATTCTGTAGCACATCTCTGCCACATCCAGGGAAGTCTTCCTCATTCATGATATGCCTACAGTTCAACTGTTAGAGATTCATTCCTTTTGCTGAAACTTTTTCCTCTTGCAAAATATACATATTACTGATAAATGGCATAAAGCTCTAATGTGATTGAGTTGGTAAGATCCTTTCTTGAGAACTGATTTGATAGAAGAAGGGCATGATAACTGGAGGAAGCTGCTGCCTATGACAAAGAGATGGAGAGGCCACAGCAAGTGAAGGAAAATGCAATTTGCAATTTATAATATGAGGCAGCTTGTGGGGCTGATGAAGCTAGGGTTCTGATTGCTTTGTAACATGGTTTAGAGCTAATTGCTTCTAAGTTCACCATGTATAGGAAATAGAGATATGGGATCTTAAACCATTCCTATGTGTGGTAATTTACAAGTAAATAAAACTCATTGTTCCCTAGAAAAAAATATTTTTTGAGACAGGGTCTCATTCTGTCATCCAGACTGGAGAGCAGTGATGTGGTCACAGCTCACTACAGCTTTGACCTCCTGGGTTCACGCAATTTTTCCTCCTCAGCCTCCCAAGTAGCTGGGCCTACAGACACACGCCACCATGCCTTGCTAAGTTTTCATTTATTGTAGAGACAATGTCTCACTATATTGCTCAGACTGGCCTCAAACTCCTGGGCTCCAGCCATCCTTTCACCTTGGCTTTCCAAAGTGTTGAGATTACAGGTGTGAGCCGCCGTGCCCAGCCTTAAATTATTTTTGATAGCAGTTAGAATATGCATACTATTTATAGAAATTGCCTTTTCAGATTTATGGAGAGAAAAGATATATTGTTTGTGTAATTAACTTTGTGATATATTTTCTGTTGAAAGGTTGAAGACAAACTTGCTTTGGAGTCTCCAATAGAAGCATTAAAAGCTAATTTAGAGGATGAGAAACAGAAGATGGAAAGGTACTGGTAATAACAAGACATAGTGTTCATTTGTAACTAATACAATATTTAACCATCTGTAAATTTATTGTAGAATTAAGAAGGAAGCAGAACGACTAAACAAAAGCTGGGAAAAGAGATTCTCTATTCTCAGGAACAGGTACGATGAGATATATATAAATTATATTTCTCAAAATGTGACTAATCATCCTTTAAGGAAGTTGGGAACCTTGCAATTTTTTTACATATTAATGTTAAATCACCTCAAATACATCTACAAGAAATGCAAAATAATTGGTCTAAAATAGAAGAGCAATCAAAATCACAGAGAAGTAAAATGTTTTCATTTCCTCTCTTTGTTTCTGTTATAAAAGATCAGCAGGACCGACAGGCTTTGTTAATACCTGGTTTCATCAGGCCTATCTAGTCATCTGCTTTCCTAGAGCTATTAAAACCTTTTCCTGCTCATTTACACACAATGATATATAACTAGTTTGTATTGTCTTTATATATATACTTGATATATAGAGTTTGGTATGTAAAGTTGCTTTATATATCAGATTCTCTACCAGACACAACAGCTCCCATTCTTCAGCCTCTCAGATCTATTTCTCACTCATATAATCATTTTGTTTCTCTCCCCCTTTACCTTTTTCTTTTCCTTTTTTTTTTTTTTTTTTTCTTTCTTTTTCTTTTTTGAGATAGAGTCCTGCTCTGTCACGTAGGCTGGAGTGCAATAATGTGATCTTGGCTCACTGCAACCTCCAACTCCCAGGCTCAAGTGATTCTCTTGCCGCAGCCTCCTGAGTAGCTGGGATTACAGGTGACCACCACAACACCTGGCTAAATTTTTTCTATTTTTAGTAGAGATGGAATTCCTCCATGTTGGCCAGGCTGGTCTCAAACTCCTGACCTGAGGTGATCCGCCTGCCTTGGCCTCCCAAAATGCTGGGATTACAGGTGTGAGCCATCGTGCCTGGCTTCTCTTTACCTTTTTCAAAATGGAGAAAGTGAAACTGTAAAATTCTGAAAAGGACAAAAACAACGTAAATTGAAAAAAATGCTTATTTTTTTCCCTTACTCTAACATATTAACATTAAAAATCTATCTTCTGTTTAGTTGTGTTCTGCCATCATTTCCCCCAGATTCTCTTCCTTAACACATGAGAGAAATACTTTTGCAATATTCCTTCACAGTCAAGCATCATCCAGGCACATGGGGTTCAATGTTGCTCTGATGGAGGCCAGAGGAGGTCAGACTTGAAGCTTATACATAGATCATGGGGTGGCAATGCCCTACGTTTGCACTGTATTTCATAAGCACACACTATGGATCTTCTGTGTATAAACTTCTATACCTGGCTGTGTATATTACATGGAAATAATTAATCCTAAGTGAGGAGGCACAAAGAATCCACACCAAGACAGAAAAAATCCCAGGATTGAGAGTAAAAAGACACTGTGGTAAAATGTTCTGCTTTATTCGGTTTTGTGCTGAAACGATCCCCTACCCATGTTTTATGTATGTGCTGATAAGCATTTCGTGCTGCGTAACGTGTGCGTAGTATCACCCACCCTAACTCCCTCACGTGGTTATTTAAGATCAGAATGTGGATACATGTGAGACCAAACAAAATTTAAATAGGTCCTTGACTTCATTTCCCTGCACGTAGGTTTTGGATTCTCTCTAGAACTGAATAAAAGGACTTTCCCTTACTGTTTTCCATAGGGTTCACTTTCATCCTGAAGATTTACCTTGTCTCTGACCCCACAGGATTTACCCTATTCTTCAATGATGATTTACAAGAACGTATCAGTTTTACTTCTTCTTCCTCCTCCTCCTCCTCCTCCTCCTCTTCTTCTCCTTCTTCTTCTTCTCCTTCCTCCTTCCTCCTTCCTCCTTCCTTCTTCCTCTTCTTCTCCTTCTTCTCCTTCTTCTCCTTCTTCTTCTCCTTCTTCTCCTTCCTCTCCTTCTCCTCCTTCTCCTCCTTCTCCTCCTTCTCCTCCTTCTTCTTCTCCTCCTCCTCCTCCTCCTCCTCCTCCTCCTCCTCCTCCTCCTCCTCCTCCTCCTCCTCCTCCTCCTCCTTCTTCTTCTTCTTCTTCTTCTTCTTCTTCTTCTTCTTCTTCTTCTTCTTTCTTCTTCCTTTTCATGGAGTTTTTACTCTCATTGCCCAGGCTAAAGTGCAGTGGCACGATCTCAGCTCACTGCAACCTCCAGTGATTCTCCAGCCTCAGCCTCCCAAGTAGCTGGGATTATAGGTGCCCACCACCATGCCTGCCTAATTTGTTTGTATTTTTAGTAGAGATGTAGTTTCATGTTTTACTTCTAATTCATTTGCTGTTACCCAAGATGTTGACAATCATATTAATCATTTTGGTCTCTGCAGTCTTTATGTTGATATCTAAATATTTAGGAAAGCAGAAATATTTATTACTACACAGTATGTTTTTCATTTAATCAACTAATTGGGACACTGTAGATTATGTCTCTCTACCTAGGCTGCAGCTCCAGGTATTAATTCAAAGTGGCATATATGGCACTGTAGAGAGTGCATTTGTACAGAGTGTACCATGGTGTGGTATGGAGATTAATTGTGAAGTCACAGACTTACATGGGCTAACACAGTTGTTTTATTTCACTGTAACTGATCCCAGATTAGGAGCGTTCATTTTTGTTTAGTAGAGAAAAAAACCTCACCGTAGTCAAGGTCAGAGTCCAATCCAATAATTTCTGTCAATTCATGATTTATATTGAGTCCCCGTCCAATTCAGGACTTCATTTCCAAGCTTCTTTTCCATCTCTGCTGAGTTCTTATTTCCAGGAAGATTGAATGTGTGCAGTGCTGACAAGGGTTGGGCTGGTCCTTCCTCTTGGTGTGCCAAGCTTGGTCATCATTGTCACACAAACGGTATGCAGGTGTGGCACATCAGTTTCAGAAAATATCCTTACCTGGCGGATGCCATGGTGATACCACTGTTTCCACCTCCACCCCAGGCGGCAGTCCACATGCATCCACCTGAGCCACCTCTGTTCTGCCTGATGGGCTCTGGGCCAGGCAGACTCACTTTTGCACACTGCGCTTCCAAACCACATAGAAAGGTTACAGGTGGTGCCCATGTCATTCTGGCTTGCATATCTGGAAGAGATCCATGCACACATCCCTTCTCCTTCCCTCCTGTCCTCTCATTCAGAGCACTAGATTGCCATCCCAGAGAGACTGCAAACATCAGAAATCTAGATGTGGCATGCAAGGTGAAGGCCCACTCTACTCATGTAGTTCCCTCACCTTGGAATCCACTGTAAACAGAAATTCTACAGGGCTCCTTACTCAACAAAGTGAACACCTATGTCCTCACCACACAGGTAAAGAAAGAAGGAATTCGCAGTGGCTTCATGGTCCCTGTGCCCATCCAGTGCCTGTCCCTTCTCCTTCTCCCAATTAGCAAATATTCTGAATTGAATGCTTATCATTCCCTTGGAGAAAGTTTTCAGTGACATTCAATTTGTCATAAAAATTGGGCTATTCCAATTTTCAATTTCTTCTAATCATTTTGATAATTTATGTTGTCTTATATGTTTAGGAATCTTCTCATTTCATTGAATTGTCAAATTTGTTGATATAAAGTTATTCATAATATCCTCATATTATATATATATATGTGGCAGTCATGTGTCACTTGATGACAGGGATAGATTCAGAGAAATGTGTAGTAGGTGATTTTGTCATTGTGTGAGCGTCTTAGAGGTGCTTACAAACCTAGATGGCATAGTCTACCACATACCTAGCCTCTACAGGATAGCCTGTTGCTCCCAGGCTACAAACCTGAGCAGCATGGGACTACAACAGAATACTGTCAGCAATTGTAACGCAATGGCAAGTATTTATGCATCTAAATATACCTAAACGTAGAAAAGATACAGTGAAAATACTGTATAAAAGTTAAAGAATGGTCCACCTGTATAAGGCACTTACCATGAACGGAGCGTGCAGGAGTGGAAGTTGCTCTGGGTGAGCCAGTGCGTGAGTGGTGAGTGAATGTGAAGACCTGGATATTACCATCCACTACTGTAGCTTTTGTAAGCACTGGACACCCCGGCTATATTGGATTTACAAACAAAATTGTTTTTTAGTAACAAATTAACCTTAGCTTACTGTAACTTTTTTACTTTACAAACTTGCTAATTTTTTAAATTTTTTGACTCTTTTGTAACAACACAGCTTTAAACACAAACATACAGTACAGCTATACAAGATTATTTTTTCACATGGTGGTGCACACCTGTGGTCCCAGCTACTTGGCAGGCTGAGAAGTGGGAGGATCACTTGAGCCCAGGAGGTTGAGGCTGCAGTGAGTTGTGATCACGCCTTGCACTCCGGCCTGGGTGACAGAGTGAGACCCTGTCTCAAATATACATATATCATTTTTTTCTTTATATTCTTATTCTATAAGCTTTTGTCTATGTTTAATTTTTTTTTTTTTTTTTTTTTACTTTTTAAACTTTTTTGTTAAAAGCTAAGATACAAACACACACATTAGCCTAGGCCTACACTGGGTGAAGACTGTGGAGATGTTACCAGGCAGTGAGAACTTTTCAGCTCCATTATAATCTTACAGGAGCACCACTGTATATACAGTCCCTCTTTGACTGCACTTCATTATGCAGGCATGACTGTATCTGTAAGATCTGGTGATGTTTCTTTTTCATTTCTGATATTTGTGTTTCATTCCTGAGAATTTGCGTTTTTCTCCTTTTTTCTTAATCTGTTGGGAATTACTAATTTTATGTTATTTATTTCAAAGAAACTCTCTTTGCTGAACTTTTCTCATATGTCTTTTCATTGACTTTTTTACATATTAATTTTAAAACTTTTTTTCTTTCTAACTTTTATTCTAGGTCAGAGGTTATGTGTGCAGGTTTATTACATGGGTAACTTGCATGTCATGGGGGTTTGGTGTACATAATTTTGTCACCCAGGTAATCAGCATAGTTTTTCAATACTCACCCTCCACCAAACCTTCACCCTCAAGTAGGCCCTGGCGTGTGTTGTTCCCATCTTTGTGTCTATGTGTACTCAGTGTTTTGCTCCCACTTATAAGTGAGAACATGTGGTATTCGGTTTTCTGTTCCTGTGTTAGTTTGCTTAGGATAATGGCCTCC